AACTTTGTGGCCCCAACCCCGCTCCTTTGGAGTGAGGGACCCGGGTCCCTGCCTCGTTCAGCAGGGGACCAGAGATTTTCCAAAAGTCCTACGCGCGAGGGCGGGCGCAGGTACGGCGGGAAGGCGAGCCTGGGGTGCCGACCTCCTGGCTGAACGGAAGATCGGAGTCCACTTCCTTCCTTGCGGCTCTGCGGTGGCCAGCGACGCTGCCGGAGAGAGCGATCCCGCGAGTCGGCGGTGACCTTGACCTTGTGACCCACTGAGACAGGCCAGATGTCTTGCAGAGGTTTTGCATTTTGTGAAACCAGGTTTGAAGGTTAAACCCTACTGCCATAAGACCCTCCCCTTTGCCTACTGTCCCAGCAGAGGGCAGGGAAGAATAAAATGTTTTCTGAACAATTGAAACCTTTCTCTCCTTTGCTCCCCCACGGAACACTTCAGACTGCCCACCTCACAGCATTCTTTGTACTAGGGGTAGGAGGACTCATTAAACCAAAGATAAAGATAAGATGCTGGAGGCCTTTGTTCTCAGGGAGCTACCTGCCTAGTCAGTGAGGTGAATGAATGTACATCACCGTTAATTTTACTAAGCACTAAAGAAACAATTCCCGCATTTAAGACTATGCAGAACACCCTGGACTATAAAAGGATGACTAAGAAATATATCACCAAGCACGCTGTCCTGATCAGGTTTATTCATGAGGCAACAATCCAGGCATCTACTCCTATGGCTTGAATTTGAATTTCTGGGTTTTAGCCTTGTATTCAACAAAATTCTAAATAGGCTGTGGATGAGCTGTTGACTTAAGGAGAGGAGGCAGTTTTGAGAAAACTTTTAGTAGATCACAGCTGTGCATCGGTGATGGCCCAGCCCAGTGCCATATAAGTTACTGAATGTTAGGGGAGAAATAGACTTTCTGGGAATGGGGCCAACCTGTCAGATGTTTTTAATGTTATGCATACGGAAAATAAACTTGGGTTTGCTGTTTGGATTTTTTGTGAAGAACTTTTTCATTAAAAATCTCAAGTCAATCCCTGGCCAGTGTGGCTCAGTTGGCTGGGCATCTTCCCAGGCACCCAAGGGTTTCAGCTTCGATTCCCAGTCAGAGCACATGCCAGAGTTGTGGGCTCGATCTTTGGTGCAGGGTGTGCAGGAGGCAGCTGACCCATGTTTCACTCTCACTCTAATGTTTCTCTCCCCCTCTCTCTTCCTCTCTCTAAAAATCTAAAAGAAAAAAAAAAAAAAAATCAACTCCAGATTGTAAATGCTTCTATGAAAAATGGTTTAAGGTGGCCCTGTCTGTTGGCCTGCAGTAACCATTTGGGAGCTGGTGTGAAGTGCTCTGCCTACTAGTATACTCATCAACCTAGTAACACTTTCTTCTACACACTAACACCTTTTATAATGTTTCTATATATTTTTATTTCATAGAATCATTTTCAAACTATTTAAAAGCAAATTGTCATTGAAACCAGGAACTTCAGTGATTCTCTCCTGTTATTTCTAATTAAAAAGAAAAAGCTATAAATGCATAAATAACCTTTTTCAACCAAATGAAGGAAAGGACATATTGGCTTTTCTTTTTATGCAATTCATTAATCTATACATTTATGCACCTTCCTTCTCCACTTTAGTTAAGTAAGATAGATTTGTGTCCGGTGCATGGTAGGTAGGCATTTGGTAATGTTAACCTACTTCCTTGCTTCCTCCCCCTACTCCATGTTTACCCTTAAGTTCTGCAGATATTCCAATTAAACCAACAGAATGGCTCAGATCTCATGAATATCAATTTCCATTGTGTTCACTTACCTTGGTTGGGTGCAAGACCACAAACTGCCCCTACTTTAGTCTTATCTTGGTGTGTGGGGGTGAGGTGGGCGGGGGAGATACCTAGCAGGAAGATATGGCTGGGTCAGTGGAAACCAGTCACGACTTCTCTACAAACTAGTCATGCATCACATAAGGACATTTCAGTCAATGACAGATTGTATATGTATACTAGTATGGCCGTGGTCCCATAAGGTTATAACAGCTGAAAAATTCCTATTGCTTAGTGACATTGTAGTTTTCATAAGGTCAAATAGCACAATGCATTACCTTTGTGGTGATACTGGTGTAAACAAACCTACTGCACCACCAGTTATACAAAAGTACTAGAGGCCCAGTGCACGAAATTTGTGCACTCGGGCTGGGGTGTCCCTCAGCCCGGCCTGTGCCCTCTCGCAGTCCAGGGCTCTCGCAGTCTGGGACCCCTCGCTCCTTACCTCCCGCCTGTAGAGGAGGTGGGAGAGGCTCCCATCACCACTGCTCTGCTCACCAGCCATGAGACCAGCTTCTGGCTGAGCAGCATTTCCCCTGTCGGAGAGCACTGACCACCAGGGGGCAGCTCCTCATGAGCATCTGCCCCCTGGTGGTCAGTGCGCATTATAGTGACCGGTTGTTCTGCCATTCGGTATATTTGCATATTAGGGTTTTATTGTATAGGATAGCACATGCAATCATGAGCAGTACATAATACTTGATAATGATAATAAATGATTATGTTACTAGTGTATGTATTTTCCATTTGATACTTTTTATTATTTCAGAGTGTAATCTTTCTATTAATTTTTTTTAATGTTTGTTGTAAATAGTTGTGGTGTTACATGGGCAGCAGCCTCACCCATCTCATCTTTACCTTGTCTCCTGAGTGTGTCATTTCTCTTGTGTTTGATTTAATCTCATCTGTTTTGTACAGAAACATGCTGTACAGGCTTATAGCCTAGAACAATAGACATATACTGGCTAGGTTTGTGTAAGTACACAGATGTACTTCCTCTTAAGGTGTTTGCACAAGGACAAAATCATGTAAGGGGTGCATGACTGTACTGATTGAAGATCAAACATTGATTTATTCACAGGGCAATGGTTTGTTCTTGTTTAAAATGAATGGAGGGGAGGAGGATAAGGGAGGAAAGGCGTTATGGGAAAGTAATAATGCCAGGTGTTCTTATTTACTCATTTAACCAACTGGGAAACTGGGATGAAAAACACGACTTCTACCTTCAAGAATCTATAAGAGAAACAGACCAAGGAGAGGGAAGGGATCATGGAAGGCTTTGAGAAGATGGCTCCAGGAATAATTAGGAAAGATTGAAATGGGGAAGGAAGAGGGCCGAGGGGTTCATCTTAAAGGGAGCAGCATACGCAAAGGCCAGGCAGTGAGGACTAGGACAGTAGGTTAGGAATTACTAGGGTTCTGTTTGGCCAAGGAGATGGAGTGTTATGCTGTGGAAAGACCTTGAAGGATTTTAACAAAGCAAGGGAGCAAGGTAGAGATCAGTATTTTTAAAGGCTTATTTGTGAGGGGAGGTGATATATGGAAGGGGACAGGAGGTGGGCTTCTGGTGTGCTGACCATGTTTATTGATATAGGCACTGGTTAATGGGTATGCTTGCTTGGGGAAATTCATCAAGCTACATGCTTTTATATATTATACTTTAGTAAAGTGTTTTTTAAGAAAAACCATTCTGTTGTTAGTAAAGGATGAATTGGGTATTAAGGAACCAGGATAAGAGTAGAAATAAATGCAGTTGCTGTTATATAGATATGAAACAAAAAGCTGCCTGAACTAAGATACTAGTTGTGAGAATAAGAAAGAAAATTAAAGGAGAATAGGACATTAGGAATCCCGTCCTCCAGAAAGCCTTTCTGGATGCCCATGTGCACATATCCAGGGTAGGCTACATGCCCCTCCTGTGTGCTCACACAGATGCGTGTTTCTGTTTCAATCATAATTCCATCCCATGCACAGATCTAGGCATCCAGTAGTATTCATCACCTCAGTGAATACTTATTGAATTAATGAGTGCTCTTAATGTCTTACTGAAATTACCTTTCGGTATCTGTGCTCCCACTAGAATGTGGGTAGGTATCAGGAGAAACTAGCTATGTGAATGACTTGCTGTGACCTTAAGAAGCCTCTTAAGCTTTCAGTGTAAAATGCTACACGTGCACTAATCAGAACCCTGGTGACAGGCATCACATACTCGGTCAAATTAGGCTGGCTCTCACTGACCCAACCTGGA